CTGACGCTATACTTCATAAAAGACTGCTTAGATCCATACATACTATTCAGAGTTATGTTTTCAGCCGTCAAAAGGAGGTACGTGGAATAGAATCTCAATTTTCTATTCGTTATATACAAATGAAGTTAAAGCTTAGTAAATTGAAGCATATAGGGTTAGGGGACCCCACACGAATTGATTGGCTGTGGAGCTCCTGGCCTTTTCTCGTTCACTTTCTTGGACCTTTGCATTATATGCCATATACAAAATACGGAGTATTGACATCTCCAACTTTTTCTATCTGTCTGTTTCCCCCTTTCAATAAAGTTTACATGCGTGAAGTCCTAGCACCAACGCTCATTCACTCGCAATCATAAACTGCTACAAGCACAGCGATAAAGCGCGTACCCTGTCGCAGATCACAATAAACCGAAACCTCGGAGCAGGTACCCAAGAGCATTCCTGAATCCAATATCAAAATAATTGCAGCGATGCTCACCCTTTCATCTATTACCCCGCGCGACGTAAGTGCCAGGCTAAGCTTCTTAAACAGGAAACTGACACCTCGATAGTCCCACGAACTTTGGTTCGGATCTTCCCAACCATATCGCTCTACCTCCGATCAACAAGGCGACAATGCCGCTGCAAACCACCTGGCCCGACGCAATGCCAACGGCACGTCCAGCAGTCATCGCTCATTCATGCCATCCCACTCTTCTGCCAACACAATTGCCACACTAGCCGCAGAAGAACGCTCGCTACGCGCTCGAAAATTGAACATTGCATCGTTTGGATACTCATGGATCAGGCCGGCGGGATGTGCCAAAACAATGCTCGGTATGAAAGAGGAGGAAGCGGAGCGCGAAGAGGCGCTACAGGCTGCTGCAGCTGAGATGGAAGCTGCAGAGGGAGAAGGCATCATGGATGATGACATGGGCATGCAGAGAGAGGAAGTAGAAGAAGACGAAGGCATGGAACGCGATTTAGATGATGATATCCCCAACGCGGAGGAGGAGGCCTCGGGTCTTATCGAGGAAGGAGAGGAAGGCCTCGAGGAAGATGAAATTGGCGACGAAGGAGAATACATGGGACGCGACTTGGATGATGACATTCCCGAAGGGTTCCCCGATGATGACTATGAGGGCTCAGGCCTGTACGATGACGAGGACGATGATTTCGACAACCAGCCGGATCTGGATGCAGAGATACCTGCTGCCGACGGTGAGAGTGTGAGTGAAGGCATGACGCGTGACCTCGACGATGATATCCCTGATGCTGCAGAGCAAGACTCGGAGCAAGAAGAGGAATGGCAACACACGGACAGCGAGGAAGAGCTGAGTGAGGAAGAGGAAAACGAACCTAGTATTATTCAAACCAGGTTTGCCGAGAACTTCCGCACCAGTACGCCCAACAGTCGCGGTGGCTTGCCTCCACCTCCGACTCTGCCCCGCGAACCCGAGACTGAAGCTCAGCGCCGCTTCCTCAATCGCTGGAGTGGTGGTGGCGATGCGTTAGATTCTAGCAGCATGCTCTACAGCGACGATGACCTGCGCGCATCGATAACCAGTCAGGGCAGTCGACGAAGCGGGTTTGCGAGAAGGTTCCCGCGGCACATCGGTGGGCCCAGGGACAGTCTGAACTAGAGAAGCTATCCAAAATGATGTTATTATGAAAAAAATAGACCCCAGGGGGTTTTGCCTCGGAGTTTTAATGACAGCTTATGATATCTCCTTATGAGATAAAATGTTCTATGAGCAAATTCAATGGACGTGACTTGAAACGTGTAAACTTCCACAGTCCCCGAATATAAAGCTCAGCCTGGAAATGGTTTCTTTTGCTAGGGCAATCCCTGTATATTGTTTTATGTGCATTATCTACGATTTGCTTAAAACATATTCCAATATCAAAGCCAGAAATAACCTAACCATCATCGAATCACATCGGACCACTGGCCTGACTTATCTCCGAGATAAATACCAGGCAGATCCCGAACATGTCGACCCAGAAAGCGGGACGTGGCCGACATCTGATCCCATGGCGGGGGTTTGCACATACATAGCTCAAAGAATCGAATCCATAGTCCCAGAACACCTCATAGCGCCAAAGCCAATATTCCCATGCTGACGATACTGATAAGTCATGTGCGTGGCTCGATCCATTTGAGATCAAGTAAAAGAACAAGTCGCTGGGTTTTGCGTGAAGGCGAGAAATTGAAGGTGATAAAAACGACAAGGACGGGCGTGGTCGACATGGTATAGAGCGCGAGTGCACGTGCGGGTGCACTTCTTAAGAGAGACAGGAAGGGTATACGTTCAGAATATCCACACATAGAAGAACAGGAGGAATACAGCGAAAAAGAAGCCGAGCCAGACTCGCCACCCGACGCCGGTGCTCTCGGCCATGCGAAGCATCCGTTTCATATTCCCGCGGAGTCGAACTCGAGTGTTATCAAATGAATCGTTGAGGTCAGTTATGTGTGTGGTGTCTCTAATTTCATCGCCAATTGCGATTGTGATCTAGATGGGTTTCCTGTCAGCGGGTTGTCATTTCAAATGACCACCTGCTCTCTTTGGATCTGGATGTTTGGGTGCGAGGCTTCTTACATCTTTCAGCATTTTGACCTTGGCGCTGATACCCTCGACTTCAGCGTCGTTTTGTGACTCGAGAGATGAGAGAACTGCATCGGAGTAGTGTCCTCTATAGCAAAGCGGGTTAATAACTATACATCCTCGGGGGAACGATAGGCGATCTCAAATCATGGACCTCTCAACACACTTTTTGTCCGGCGATGCACTCTGATATCCCGCTCCATCTGCACCGCTACTCGCGTAACCATTAGGTGCTGGGCTGGGGTAACCTCCGTACCCGTATCCACCTGGTTGTTGGGCAGGAGATCTGCTAGCTTGGCGGGAGTCGCCACCGTATTGATCGAAGAGAGACGAAGAGGCACGGGGATCACGCTGACGCGGAAATCTATTTCGATTACTGCTGCATTAGCTAACTGAAGGACACCCCATAATAGACCAAGATATTAACGGTGGAACTATACCGTGAAGCCATAACGGTCGTGGAATGTAGCTAAGTTTGTGCCGGAGGAAGAGAAGAAACATAAACTGCAGATCGATAAGTTGTTTAACGGTGATTGAGCATTTCGGAAGTATCAAAATCCAAGGCGATCACTGTTCGTATCCTCGATGCTTGCGGAGATAAAAACATCAAGGTGGCCATAGCGTTGTCATCCGCAGGAACGGCACGTGATAGCCTAAGTACTGGAAATCGACACGCGGGATAAGCAGTTATAGTTCGCGTGGGAAGCTGTTTCCTGTCAATTTGGTCATTTAGTATTGATTATGATGGGATTCAATGGACAATCCATTGTTCGTTCCAAGTTATAGCCCTGGAGATATCCATTTTGTCTACAAATTACATCATAATAGGCTGAACATCGGCCAACCAACAATCAACGGACAAAGTGTATATGAACAGAGTTGGAAAAAGAAATCCGAAGATATATTCATTGATTCATTGTCATCACAGAATCGCGTGACTTTTTGTGGACACGCGCGAAAAAAAACATCGTGGATCGATCCGTGGCGCCTATCGTTCAAAGCAATTCCATGACACCCGATAGTTTTTTTTATTCATCGAGCTTAGTCGCGCATCTGATCATCATCGTTGGTTTGGTTGTCCTCGCGGCTCTCATATTCCTCATCATCGTCATCGTCATCCTCCATCTCATCGGTGGAGATCTTGGAGTAGTCAATGACCTTGCCGCGTGTGCGTCGGCCACCCTGGATGATGTTGCTTTGGTCGATGGGGTCGTTGAGATTGTCTTGTGTGTCATCGTCCTCGTCTGGGAACAGAAAGGGTCAGTATGGAGGCAATTGATTGTCCTCATGGCGCATATGGTCATTCAGACAGGGGTTGCTTGGGTGATAGTGGGGGGGTACACACCATTGTCGGCCTAGTAACACACAAGAAAGTCAGCATACAAGTAGGTAGTTGGGCGTGGAAATTGCAGACTCACAATTTCATTTTCGCTCTCCGACTCGCTCTCCTCATCCATGCTCATATCTTGCGTGGGGTCAGCCTTGCCCTTGCCCTTGGCGAAAGCTTCCTCGTTGGTGTTGGAAATGGTCGCCTGGTCAGCCATAATGAGATTTATGCAGAGTGGATGAAGAATTGTAAGAAGGATGGTTGGTGGAGAGGGGGCAAGGGGAATTAAAAAGACGGTCTGCAAAATAAGGTCCCCTCGAACCAAAACAACCTGTAAGGACGAGACCCCGTTGCCTGATTGGCTGCCGCGGGTGATCAAACCCCGTGACAAATCTTACCCTCAGGCATCAAGGACTAATCCAACTGAAAAGGGACTGTCAAATTAACAATCCCCTAACTATTTATATAGGCAAGTAATTACCCTAATCATCAATAATATTACAACACACTTTTGCACTTCTTTTATCTGCACAAAAGAGGCAAATGGCATATTAGAACTCATGATATCAGCTATTTCTCATACTAGAAAATGAGAAGACCAAATCAGCTATCGAGAGCGAAGCATCTTTCTATAGAAGTTGCGTTATTGCCCCACCATTTGGCATTGAAATTTGCTTGCCTGCTCCGAAAAAGAAGAAGACGAGCAACATGTTGAGATTGAATCCAGCATCAAGCGCAGCAGCAAGAAGGTAATTATACAGCTTCCAGACCTCAAAATGACGACAGTAGGCCCAATACATTACAACATATCCACCAACAATGGCAGATGTATAACCAGTACTGATGTTATCATAGAACATTGCCATTCCTCCATAAAAGGTACTGACATTCCATTCCGCAAGTCAATCCGAAGTCGGGGGAAGAATCGGTGGAAATAGAAGAGGATAGGAGGAATTACCGCCCCGATAAGGAATGACCACGGAAGCACGGCCATTCTATGTCAGCGAGCAACCTTCGTGAACCAAGCACCGCATACTGTATACCCATGGTGTTGAAAGTCCGCAGGGACTGTCCTGTCCATTGATTTAGTGGATCCATTTTTTTGTAATCTCCTTTGTTGTCCATGATCCAATAATGACGGCATAGTTGATTGGAACACCCATGCAAGTGCCGAAAATCTGAGAGAAGAAAACTGTGCGGGGTGAATGTGCATGTAGTGACCAATATTTTGGTCTTGGAGCATATACTGCGCACGATACCAGGCGTCACCCGCAATAGACCCATAGACAGAAAGACCACAGGGGTGTTGGTGAGCCTCGCCGGCTTTTGTGTGAATCATGTAGCTATACATGAGTTCGTTGAAAGAGCTAGTCTCAAGCCGGTAGTTAGGGATGGCGTAAAGCCAAGCAAACGGGATGACCAGGACTGCAGCACTCGCGAGTGCCCCAAACAAGGTCCAAATTTGGATGAAGAGATGGCCAAGTGCGAGAAATATGACCAGAATGACAAAGGCTACCGAAAATAGGGTAGCATACCACCACCATGGAATCTCTTTGTATTGTCTCTGGATAACGTTGAGGCGGTCATGATACTGGTGATGAATGCCTTCGTTCTTCCTGGATTTCTCTGCTTTTCGAGATGACCAGATTTTTCTGACATTCCTGGAAACCTGTGCGTATCCAAACGTTAAGATTCAAGTGACCGCTGCTGGAAGTTTGGCGTAGTCAAAAAAATGTTGCCCACACATTTTGCAACCCCATATACATCGGCCCATACTCCTCGTAAGCGGTCGTGTTCAGGTGATAGTCTGCAGTGAGAACTTCGAGCACCGGGTAGGAAGTACCATTTGCTAGGAATAGATTCCCGCACTTCGCTGCAGGAAGTAGAACCCAGCAATTGAAAGCAAAAGCCAAGAACAAGATGACCTGCGTCCAGTATGGGGTCATCATGATTGAGGAACCATTCCAGTTCACGTTTGACCAATCCAACGAGAGATTGAGGAAGCCCATGCCACCAAGACCTGAGCCAATGGAGTTTACGACCGGATTGCGAGGTGCCACCCAACAGAGGAAGGCTAAGGATGAGGTGAATTGGAAGACATACTCTAGAAGGAATTGCCACATGGTCATCCCTAGAAGTGCGAAGAAGAACACCTTCACCTGATGCCGAGCGAGAGCCGATGAGTTGTCTGCCTTGCGGAAAGTTTCAAACAATGTTGTTTGCATCAGAGCTTGGTTCCAGATGTATTCCGGGTCAGACAAAAAGGATTTATCGGGCAAGAGCAGCAAAGGAGTAGCCAATCCATACGATTGAAAGCATAAAGAAGATCGCAACCGCCAGATTAATTCGTGTACCGTACCAAAGCTCTGCGAGGACGATGGGAGCATATCCCAGGTTGTACGTAGCCCCAGAAGCTGCCGTCAGTGTGACCAAGACATGCTCCTTGGTGCTCCAGGGGGCCAATATCAGGCTGAAAGAAAAACGAGTACCAGGTAGTCCAATCTTCCAATCTGGAAGGACTCTAGCCATAAAATGACCAGCATAGTGACAGGCAATTTAAACAAAAAATATGGAGTATGGTACCCTGGTTGTGCGAAAGTTGCTCATCTGCGGCAGGAAGGCTCCAGGGATAACGAACAGTGACACCTTATATAGGGACCACCCTAATAGTAAAAGCTTAGCTAGATATATCTACTAGGTATACGGAGGCCTACTGGACTAGAAAGTAAGCAAGCAACCCACGGTCATAATATCCACCACAGAAGTAGAACTACTATGCCTATCGGAGGTAGGAAAGTAGCTTTATCAGTGGCTTCGGTTACTTAATAACCTCGCCTTTACCCCATCACACTACCTAACGATTAACTACGATAACAAGAGGACTATCCGCCTTTTAACCAAACACGTTATTAGCCAGCGAAAATATTGGCAAGTGCCATCTAAACAGCTTCTAGCTCCTTCTCTCCTCTCGGGAGCTCTACGGTCTTGAATATCATCATACACTATGTATTCCGACCTAGGCCTCTAATGAACTTCTTGACAGAAATCAGGCGTACGACCAATGTATGGTCAAAATGGCAGGTATTGAAGATTCTGTTAACTCTAACTAAAATGACAAACCCCGCTTTTTCAACAATCTGAGCGGACATAGATGACTAGCTGTATTATGCACTTTTGTATGGTATGTCGAGTACCACTTGTCACATGATTTTCGGGGTGAATTACTCTGTCTCATCCACGTAATTCATCTCTGTACTCGACAGATATCTTGTGTAACGGGCCAGTGCCCGGCTAACATTACGTGTGTTCACGTGACCCGCGCCACACATCAGTCGATCAATGGGCCCAGGCACCAGGCACGGCCAACCCCAAGCGCAGGTGGCAGTAAACAAGGTCGGCCGTGGGCTTCGTGGCACGTGACGCCAAGACCAACCACAGTGAGCGAGCGGCTTAAAACGGCGTTTCTGGCCTCATATTTACCGTGTCATCCTTAATTGTAGTGTAATTTCTTATGAATAATAGTATATCAATCGCCGTTAGTATCGTAGAATGTATTAGGAACCCTAGTATACACTTAATCCGAGCAGGTTACACTACTACGGAGTACAGCATATGTAGATTGAGTTTCGGTGAAAAATACATCTAAACGACTACATTATAATATTATAGTTGTATAAAGATACCTGTATATGGCAAATTTCGGATTTATACAAGATATAAAAGTATAGTTTGAAATGACCAAATGTGTAAGAAGCTATTACCCAATAAAAGCGATATAAGAAATCTTCTGTAAAGTGTCACCTTGAAAGGTCCACGGGAAACTCGGCGATTATATAATAGAATGGATGACAGCTGTATATTTTGATTTTATCATCATGACGCTTCCATAATTTCCATTGTTTTTTTTTCAAAACACCAATACCAGTCGAGGTCTCCCATGGCGACCATGTATTATTGTATTATTTCCGTATCGATACCATATTTTGACACCGCCTTAAGAGTCATCCCACTATTACATCATACCCCGCCATAAAAAAAAGCTGAGAACATCAAAGAAAGTGTTGCATCGTCAAAGAAACAAGAGGAATTGACGTGGTTGAGGATAAACTTAGAAACAATCAAGGAACTTGTAGATTGAAGACCCCACTAAGCTCATCTGGAACCTACTAGAGTCTTAATGAAGGACGTAATGAGTTGGTTGCTAGGCCATCGAAGCTCATGGAATCTCATGGATCCCCGTGGAAGGCTCCCTCTAGAAGCTTCTGGAGCAATACACCGCTCACTATATAGGAGCTTTTCTCAGCCCTTCCTCTCTTCTCTTTTTTTCCTTCACTTTCAAAATACCCCTTTACTTCCCTGTACACTACCCTCTTGACACACGAATCTCTTTCTACACCCTTTCTTCTTTTTAACGATTACACACATTCACCATGGCTCCCGCCGTCGGTATTGATCTGGGAACCACCTACTCCTGTGTGGGTGTCTTCCGCGATGACCGCATTGAAATCATCGCCAACGACCAGGGTAACCGCACCACTCCCTCGTTCGTCGGTTTCACCGACACCGAGCGTCTCATCGGTGATGCCGCCAAGAACCAAGTCGCCATGAACCCCCACAACACTGTCTTCGATGCCAAGCGTCTCATTGGTCGCCGCTTTCAGGATGCTGAGGTCCAGGCCGATATGAAGCACTGGCCTTTCAAGATCGTCGAGAAGGCCACCAAGCCCGTCATCGAGATTGAGTTCAAGGGTGAGGCCAAGCAGTTCACCCCTGAGGAGATCTCCGCCATGATCCTCGTCAAGATGCGTGAGACTGCCGAGGCTTACCTCGGTGGCACCGTCAACAACGCTGTCATCACTGTCCCTGCCTACTTCAACGACTCTCAGCGTCAGGCTACCAAGGACGCCGGTCTCATTGCCGGTCTCAACGTCCTCCGCATCATCAACGAGCCCACTGCTGCTGCCATTGCCTACGGTCTTGACAAGAAGGTCGAGGGTGAGCGCAACGTTCTGATCTTCGATCTTGGTGGTGGTACTTTCGATGTGTCTCTCCTTACCATCGAGGAGGGTATCTTCGAGGTCAAGGCCACTGCTGGTGACACCCACTTGGGTGGTGAGGACTTCGACAACCGTCTGGTCAACCACTTCGTCAACGAGTTCAAGCGCAAGCACAAGAAGGACCTGACCACCAACGCCCGTGCTCTCCGTCGTCTCCGCACCGCTTGCGAGCGTGCCAAGCGTACTCTCTCCTCCGCTGCCCAGACCTCCATCGAGATCGACTCTCTCTTTGAGGGTGTTGACTTCTACACCTCCATCACCCGTGCCCGTTTCGAGGAGCTCTGCCAGGACCTCTTCCGCGGCACCATGGAGCCCGTTGAGCGTGTCCTCCGTGACGCCAAGATCGACAAGTCCTCCGTTCACGAGATTGTCCTCGTCGGTGGTTCTACCCGTATCCCCAAGATCCAGAAGCTCGTCTCCGACTTCTTCAACAAGGACGCCAACAAGTCCATCAACCCCGATGAGGCCGTTGCCTACGGTGCCGCTGTCCAGGCCGCTATCCTGTCCGGTGACCAGTCCTCCAAGTCCACCAACGAGATCCTGCTTCTCGATGTCGCTCCTCTGTCCCTCGGTATTGAGACCGCCGGTGGTGTCATGACTCCTTTGATTAAGCGCAACACCACTATCCCCACCAAGAAGTCCGAGACCTTCTCTACCTACTCCGACAACCAGCCCGGTGTCCTCATCCAGGTCTTTGAGGGTGAGCGTGCTCGCACCAAGGACAACAACCTCCTCGGAAAGTTCGAGCTCACCGGCATTCCCCCCGCCCCCCGTGGTGTTCCTCAGGTCGAGGTCACCTTCGATGTTGATGCCAACGGTATCATGAACGTCTCCGCTCTTGAGAAGGGTACCGGAAAGTCCAACAAGATTACCATCACCAACGACAAGGGCCGTCTCTCCAAGGAGGAGATCGAGCGCATGCTTTCCGAGGCTGAGAAGTACAAGGAGGAGGATGAGCTTGAGTCTGCCCGTATCCAGGCCAAGAACGGCCTTGAGTCTTACGCCTACTCCCTCAAGAACACTCTTTCCGAGGGCAAGCTCCAGATCTCCGAGGATGACAAGAAGAAGGTTGAGGACAAGATCACCGAGGTCATCGGCTGGCTCGACAGCAACCAGACTGCTGAGAAGGACGAGTACGAGTCCCAGCAGAAGGAGCTCGAGGCTATTGCCAACCCCATCATCTCCGCTGCCTACGGTGGCCAGGCTCCCCCTGGCGCCGGTGCCCCCGAGGGTGGTGCCCGCTCCGCTGACGAGGTTGAGGAGAAGCCCGAGGAGCTTGACTAAACGTCTCGCTCTGATTGATTCTGTCTTATTTGCCAATTGGCACTCGTTTACTTTCACGTCTTGTTTTACGAACTTATGGGGTATCAAGGTTTCTTTTTGCGCATGATTGCATAGATACAAGGTTATCTCTTTTTCTAGGGGAAATAAATCCTAGTGAATGAAAATTATTTTTAATTCAAAACATCATTGCTTGTGTAGATGGTAGAACTATTTCGAGTCACCCTAAAACAGCCCTTGTGCGGACTTCCATATACGGAGTACTAAAAATGAAGCTATACAAGAATCGCAACCCCTCGTTAACCTCGCAAGTGTATAGTGTGTGACCATTTCGTGCAATTAGACGACCAGGTCGCGTAAGTAGATATATGAACAAATAGAATACAAGATCTAACGATGTAAATCCTCTTTGCGAGAATCTCCCAAAACCAAAACTCCAAACCGATCATGTATCGCAATTCCCGTTTAAAGGCCCTGGAAGTCTCCGTTCCACCACCGTTGTAACCTATGCCCGCTTGTCTGTACGATGCTTCCGTATGTGATTTCTGATGCGCGCTCGGGGTGCTGTTCACGCTGGTCACGGCGAATGCGAGTGAGGGCAGCAGAGACGCCCATGGTCAGGGCGAAGAGGGGATCCGCGATCCTATTCAAATGGCGTTAGATGATAGATCTCTTGTCAGAGATAGCCAGACTGTTGGAAACTATTATGTACCTGGAAATAAGATAGACAGGCATAATGCTCTAGCTTTTGGAAAAACAATATGGTGGTTTCGGTGATTCGACATGCTTTGTCGTACATCCAAGAGCTGTAGAAGAGATGCATCACGTGATGTGGACGCTGCTTGCTGGTCGGTGCATCGCCCTCCCCGTGGTCTTCCACAGCAACACATCGCCATGCATTTCTCGCTCTCCTCTCTTCTCCTGTTAGGGGCCAGTAGCCTGGTGTCCGCCAGCTCTTTGACAATCACCATCCCGGCCTCTAGTTCCCTCCCAAACCCACATGTCCTCCCCGCAACCAGCCATGCCACTCTCACCACTCTCCCCTCCGGTGCGAAAGATCACATCCTCTCTGCATCGCTGACCCGCTCGGCGACATTTGTGTTCCATGATCTCCCATCCTCTGGTCCGGATGCTCAGCCGGAGTCATACTTGCTCGATATCCGCTCCGCTGGCGACTACGTCTTCGCCCCCTACCGCGTCGATGTCGCGGCTGATGGATCCATTCTTGGTATCTGGGAGACTTTCCGCGGGAACCCGTGGGATAACCGTGGCGCGGAGAAATATATTGTGGATATTGCTGGAAAGAAGCAGGCCGATGTGGTTGTCGAGGCTAAAGTTCTTGGACGGAAGGTCTTCTATGAGCAGCGTGCTCAGTGTGAGCTTGCCCCTCTCTCTTCCCCCACAGATACGACCTGCAGAGATGTCTATAGTTGTGCTAACCTTGTATTGAATCGCAGTCTCTCCCTTGAGTCTCGTCAAGAACCCAATGGTCTTGCTTGCAGTTGTCGCCCTGGGTCTCATGTTTGTCATGCCCAAACTCATGGAGAATAGTATGTCTATTGCCCCTTCCTTGGCCCTGATTAAAATATATATTTGGTGCCTAACTTTGTTGTCCAGTGGATCCTGAGATGCGCGCCGAATTTGAGCAGCATTCCCGCTCCTCGCCCATCACCGGTGCCACTACCAATGCCATGACTGGTGGCGGGTTTGATCTGGCCAGCTGGATGGCGGGCACTGGTGCCCCTAACCCCACGGCCAACGATGCGGCTCAGGCTGGTTCAACTGGTAGAGATAACAGTGGTCCTGCCCGGAGGCGCGGATAGAAGATCATTACTTTATTATATTGACCGCTCTTGGCACGGTATCTTGTCATTGTCTCGTGGCTAATTGTATGATACAAAGTTAACTGGGGTTGCTCATGGCTCATAAAGTTTGGAGCCAAATGCCGATAAATGACCAGAGCTGTTTGGGCGAAACAAAAGCAATCCTCCCATATCCCCCGGATGTCAAAGCGCCTAGAAGTCCCTCGAGCTGTACGGGGAGGCCTGTCTCTGGTCCCGAAGTCCATCCCAGTAACAAACTAAACAGGAAGAAAAGCAGAACAAAGAAAGTAAAATGCAAACCGAGCTTAGAAGTCACCTCAGAAGTTATCAATCACCACCGTCATCACCACCATAATCATCACCGCCGCCGTAGTCATCGTGATCATGATCATCATCCATAGCATCGGCAATCAGCATACCACCAAGCAGACCACCGCCAACACCCAGAGCAGCAGCACCGGCAGTTCCCATGCCTCCTCCACCTTGCCTGCGACCCGGTTGCTGCTGGTAATACCCACCCTGCTGTGGGTATCCTCCATATCCACCTCCGTATCCCGGTCCGGGATGTCCATACCCAGGCTGGGGGCCATGCTGCAGAGGATAGCCACCACCGCCATAGTATGCACCATGGGGAGGACCTTGCTGAGCATACGAGGCATACTGTTGCTGCGGCCGAGGTGGTCTGCTGCTTGAGCTCGAGCTCTTACCCAACAGCTTGCTCAAAAATCCACCTTTGCTGCGCTTCTGTTCCTGCTCAGGCATCGGACTCTGTGATGCTGGGCCCGCCGCATATCCGCCTGGGCCGGTGGATTGCGGCCGCGAGGCATCGTTGTAGTAGTCTGTTGAGGCGCCGCGATCTCCTGGTCCGGCTCCAGTTCCTCCTGTGCGAGCCCGGGCGTCCTCCTCGGCTTGGAGCTTGGCGGCAAGTCGTGCGTCCTCGTCAATCATGTGAGGGCTGGCGTTGCCTGGGCCAGTATTTGTTGAAGGGTTATAGGGGTTGTTTGATCCCATATGTTGCTTCTGGTCTCCCACATTCGCCATTGCTGCTGGGTCGCCAGGCCCGGCATTGCCGTATGATGGGGGGAGAGAATTGGTTGGAAGATTGCCGTCATCGCGTGGTTGGGGGGCCTCGGGGCGGTCCCATTGCGATTTGCCCGTGGCGAGGTCCACATAGAACCTGACTGATTGTCAGTACTTTGATTTTAAGAGTAAATGCATATGTACGTACCAAGCGTGGTATCGATCGTCATACTGTGCTTTCCATCCGTCGGGCACCGAAGGCGGGGGAGGCCCGGAAGGCGGGGCGAACGACATGATGTGACAGGTATGACCTTGAAAAGGTTGTCAGATCCGATTGACTTGTGGTAATGGCGTTATCTAGAGGCTTCGAGGACCAAAGTATTAGGATCAAAAGAGAATAGGAGAGAGAGAGTTAGAACAAAAGGGAGAGTTCTTGCTTCCATAGGATATAAGCGGGGAACTGTGGCCTCAGGCATATTGACTGCGCCTCGGTGTTGATGTCACTATATATATAACTACACATCTCTAATCTACTCCGTACAGGCTTCCACATTCAAGATTTCAGCTCATGAGTCATATTCTCTTAATGTACACAAACACCATAGCTTTCCTGCTGTAACGTGAATTCTGGTCTTTTTTAATAAAAAATTACACCCAAATCAGAACTCCTCGCTTCAATGCTATGCGAAACACAATGGTATCAGGGTGTCACACTAGGCGATCTCCTTCTGGATATTAGGATTGATGTCTCCACTGGCTGGGAACCAGTTATCTTCTTCAAGAACCTCAAGTAGTTCTTCAAGGTCAAACCGATGTCGGTTTGACCTCTCCATCTCCGTATCTGAGTCTATGAGGGTGAGGTCAACATCTTCGGTGTTGCTGATGATCGAGACCTTGCGAGCCTTCTTTTTCATCCGACGAGATTTTTTTTTGGCTTTCCCTTCTCCATCCTCACCACGGCCATCTTTCTTATTTCGGTTCTCTTCATGGTTCCCCTGATTTTCTTCCCTTTTCATTTCAGTTTTCTCAAACTTTTTCTTCCTCTTCTTCCCGGGGCGGGAAGAGCCAAGAGAAGACAGAGATACGGGGAGATATACGGGGCCCTTAGAGCTGAACGTAGAAGGATCATATTGCTCCTTGCGTTTCCTCTTATGGAATCCTCGATTTCGTATCTCCGCAATTCGTATTTGTCTTTCGACCTCTCGTCGCTGATTCAAATCGAGGTCATGACGATCCCCTGGTGGCGGTCCATCCAATTGTTGGATTTGATATTTTTTGAGTAAAGGGAGTTGCCCAATCCGATCGGAAGGAACGTCTGGTTTGGAATTCCGAGCCCACGAGGCAAAAGGCCCCGTGTAAGAGGGCCCTTGGCCCATACCAAATGTCTCGTGCTTAACCACCTGACCAGACAAGATAAGCTGGTTTCCCGCAAGGACACCACTATCACTGGCACTATCACTGGGCTTTTCGGGCTCTGGGGCACGTTCAAAGTCGAAAGCTGTAAGGTTGGGGTCCGAACAAGGTCCCGATGATAGTACGTGCACCCCCCTCCAGAACCCCCAACGAGGAGGTGAGATTGATCTTCGTTGAAGGCGGCGCACATGATCTCTTCGTCGAAAGATGCGACATTCTCAACGAGGACATCTACAGGTGACCGGCGAATATCCCATCGTTTGAGGACGCCATCGGACGCACCGGTGTAAAACTGGTCCATAGATGAACCCCAGAGAGCCACCCTAACACCCACGTCTGCCATCTCCCGGCTTCGCTGGTGATCAATTGGGTTGATGGGGGCCGTATGTTGAAGTTCATGGAGAATCCTATCACCTTTCCGATTGTCCCAAACATAGGTTTTGCCATCTGTGCAGCTAGCAGTGATGTACGTGCCGCTGGAATCCAATGGACAGAAACTGACCTCATTGACATCCAAAGCCGGGCAGGAGAATTCCATAACTGACGGGACACGCTTTTGGAGGTCACAGTTGAGGCTAAACACTCTCACAATGGACTTTGTGGTAATGCCAATGCCTTTGATCCGTGCGTTGTGGGGATCTTCCGGACTGGCCGTGGTAAATATGGGCAATGAAGAATGCCATTTAATGTCGAAGACATTTTGTGAGTTGGATGCAATTCTGATGGTCTCAAATGCAGATTCGCGTGCTCGCCACAAACCTAAGTGACCTTTATATATTGGGTCTTCCCCAGGTTCTGCGAGGCCTCCAGCTAGAAACTCCTTGGTCGATGGAGTATGCCCCCAGGCCAGGGCTGTTGATGAAAACTCAAAGTTGGGCTTATATCGTGCATCGCGGTCGATGGGGAGAAGAGTTGATGTTAAGTTTTCCGGATCTCGTGTGTCCCAGACCAAGATTGACTCTGTCCCTGTAGCCAATATATTCGGGTCGAATTTCGAGACCGACATCACTGCCACTCGGGACTCATGCTGCAAGGTATGGGTACAGGATACGTTGGGGAGTGATTCCACGTCCCAGATCTTGACAGTTTTGTCGAAACTAGCAGTGTAAAGTCGATTGCCAATCCATTGCATATTATTAACGCTCATGAAAAGCCGCGGGTCATCAACCGGCGAGGATATTGGTCGTGGAATCCAATGATCCGGAATTTCCTTTAGACGATTGCACTGAAGGTCGCCCAAAAGAAGATTGTTGGCTTGGTTGTACTGCATATTATGTTCGTCTGATTTAGCTGCGGCGCCTGCCGCAAATTGAGTGCCATCAGGCGACCAAGCCAGAACAAGCAGATCGCCTGAAGCGCCTTGCCATGATTTCCATGGTCTAAGATCCGAGACCACATCGGTGACAATGCGGCGATTATTTCCACCCCCAAGCTCACGGCTGTACAACAGCTTTTGGACATTTGCACAGCGAGGCAAAACACGACGCGGCTCCTGGGGAAAAGACGCAACAGGGTCCGGAATAGCTTCGACCGTTGTGCCTGGTTCTTCAGCGTCAAGGCAAACACTGACCCAGGGATTGGCGTAATAATTTGTTGGTTTAACCCTATTTCGACTGGAGCGACGAATGAGATTTTGCTCGGCTGTCGGGGATATTGACCGCGAGGATTGAGGTGATCTAGTGGCAGATGACATGGTCTCCGGCGGGTAAGCGAAATGTTGTTTTAATATAGGAGTCACTATCTCATCGTTCCTACTGGCATTTGATATTGCCACACTCTCCCTAAGAGTTCGTTGGCGCTCGCGATGACTGGGAGAGATACCATGTGAGGAAGATACAGAGACAGCTGGAGGTGATGAAAGTCGGGAAGGAGCGCGGGAAGAAGCACGGGAGGAAGCGCGGGACGGATTGCGAGGAGAAACCCGGATTGGACTGTCAGAGGAAGGAGCGACAGAGTGGGAAGAAGAAAGTCGAGTGACATGGCTGCCACTTGAGGAACGCGTGAGTCGAGGTGATATCTGGTAAGGTGAGGCCCCAATGGGCTGGACTTCAGTCCGTGGAGTTTGCCAGGCGTCCCGAGCCGCATGGCCAGAAGTGGCCGGAGTTGATGGTTTCTCTGCCAGAGAGGAGACCCCAGAATACTGCACCAGCAAACGCAGAGTCTCACGTTGAATGTCTGGATCTTCAGGGATGCTTTCGGCTGATAGACCAGGGAATGCAGGGATTATACTCTGATCATTAATACTGGAGAAGCCGTGAGACATTTTAGTAGCACAGCTGAGGTTCTGAGCTAGGAAAAGACAAAGGGAAAAAAAAGTCAGATATGAATATTGAAAGGAAGAAGAGATCTCTCACATGTTTGAATTGATTGATATGAATTTAGGGTCGGTCACGTCTGGTCTCGGACGATTGCAAAGTGAGAAAGACATAACATCGGCGCCCCTGCTCTCTCACTTTGCTCACACCGAACCTGATATTTCCGTTCTTATCTTCCAGCCTGCCAATCTCTTAAGTCTGATTCCGTTCTTTTAGCGGAAACCAGACTATGTCTTTGGATAGCTTCGCTATGAAAGAAACTGTCCCGATATAGCCTTGGCAGCCCTATTAGAGCTAAATATTAGACAATACAGCCGTTCAAGTTATTGTTTCTGAATGAATAGGGCGATATCTGTATCGGGCGCAGATCTCTCAGGCGAGGGAGGCGAGGATCACAAAGGCGATGCGACAATGGAGAGGCAAGCTTAGATCTGCCATGCATTAGGAGGCTTCCCGCTTAAAGGTACCGAGAACAAGAGCATACCTGAGAGAAATACGTGTAGAAGCTCAAAGAGAGATTGAGAGACTGTAAACTCAATGCCAGAACTGAATATTGCCCAGATTGCAGAAGATACATGAGAAAGTGTGGAGAAATGGAGCAGAATCGCGTCGAGAACGCGATAACGCGGGCAAGAGCGGCGATGGGCGGTGAACCACGGTAAGGCGGTCCCTGAACTATAGACCTTTTTATATATCAGACTAATATTATGTATAAGAGTATTCAATGGATGTACAATGTAGACCCAAGGTGAAGATGTAAAGTGATTTCAAGTAAATAATTAAACTACAAATTTGTTGGGTACCTGGGTATCACTTTGAAAGAGCCCCCGGAAACTTCGAGAACTTTGAGAGCTTTCACCGAGTCATTACTCGCACTTGAACAAGTATACATAGTGGACATTGAGGGTCCGGACCTTGTCTCTCCAGAAAGCGTAACCATATGAGGTGTCACATGGGTCTGGTAGACTTGGGGAGAAGTTCCTGTCTATTTAGCGATGCGGCCCTTTCTACGGGCAGACACCATCATATCATACAGCACATCCTTAAACGCAAATAGGAATGCAGCAGTGATGGCGCTCTGGGTAACCTTCGGCCCAATACCTTATTGAAAATATGTCAGTGAACAACCACCAGGTATGACTTCTCAAAAAAGGAGAGAAAAAAGCTTACCCTTGTAGAGTCCCTTCCAGCCCTCTTCCTGGATAATCCTCTTCAGGCTTCCATTCAAGCTCTCCTTAGGGCCATCCTTGCTAGCAACATGCGCTCGGCTCTTGATGGTGATATATGGGTAGGTGAGGCTGGTGGCCAAGATTTTGCCCAGTGCGCCCAAGTAGAACGCATCCTTCGGCGTCATACGCCGGCGGCGCTCTACCATGTTTTTCAATTGCTCGAAAATAGTGTATTGCAGAATCGGGTTGATTACCAGGACCAAAGCCGGGAGGACGCCGGCAAAGAGGGCCTTGGGGCCCTCCTGTCGGAGCAGGTCCATTAGGGTGCTGAGGGTGGATGCCTTCGTTTTCTTGGCACCAGGCAATGTTTCCTCCGCCTCAGACTTGCGGGCAGTCATGCGAGTGTTGATAACCCAGATCGGGTTGGTGATTAGCACCGTGGCGCTCCCTGCAATGGCGCCCGCAATCATCGACTCCACCGTTGTGAGCTTTTTTGAGGCTCGGCCTCCCTGGATGGCGGCCTTCTCAAAGGCCGAACGCGTGAATTCATACCAATAGTAATACACAAAATTGGTGACACTGATTCCAAACAACGCTGATTCCAAGCCGGAGTATAGTCCCGAGATACCTTCTCTCTGTACTATGCGGCGTACGGCGTCAAGGGTGGTTGAGTGGGCACGTTTCGACTCGACTTGGGCTCTTGTCGACAAAGTAATCAGAGGGTATCTGAAGTGTGGGGTTAGCGGCAGCGATGGGGAAAACGCGGGGAAGCATACGTCAAGACCATCGACAGAACACCGCCTCCCGCACCCGCCAGCGCGTGCGCAATGTTATCACTCTGCTGAACAGCAGATGCTGCGTTTCTTTGCTCGGCTCCAGGTTGAGACATGATGGAGAACTGGATTATTGAATGCTCGGGGTTAACGGCCGGTAAAGATGAAGAAGATGAAATATATCAGGTTAAGAATGTTTGAAACAAAACCATCAAAATGAGTGTCGGCTTGAAGGGGGATGGGATGTTCATGACGTTTTGCCGAAGTGCTGGTGTGCCTCGGCTCCCAACTCCACTACATTCCGAGACGCCCGTATATTCCCCTGTACAAAGATTATTTAGTTTACTTTGGTTTGGTTTGATTTGATTTCTTGATATCCTCGGTACCTGCATGCTATCAAGTGACTTGAATGTGTCACGTTCGCATAAACGGTCATTTCGGAATATCAAGGTAATATCTCCAGACTACCTAGGTATCTTGTATGTGCTAATGATGATCTACTGTTTGGGGTCGGCCCCTGTGATTTGCATGTGATTATATTTTCCTAGATGCCATCTAAATGTACATTTAGATTTGACTCAGGGGCAATCTACATAGTACAAGGCACTGGTTTATCCAGAAAAGAAAAAGGGAAAAAAAGAGGCCCCATGTGAGGCAGTATGCCTCGAGAAGTCGCAAGGTTCTCGCTATTAGTCCATTCACAAGAGAGAAATCCAACGTACAGAAAAAAAAAGCGAAGATAGAAAATAGAAGATGAAGGAGGGGGAAGACACAGAGAGAATGATGGGCCAAGGTAATAGAGCAGAGACGTAGCCAGGAAATCATGAGAACGCAGAAACCGGCGGTAATCGCATAAGTAAACGCAGAAACGAGAATAGAACGCAGGTCGTCTAAAGCGAATCCAAGGCAAGAAAGGACCCCCAACGGCATCATCATAACATTTGCCAGCTCCGTGGAGAATCTTCTCCTTACCCGTCAGGAACATGCCGAGTTTCTAAAGGTCTGACAAGTTTGAATCCTGCCGATTAGATATCACGCCGCTTGGAACCCTTCAATTCATGGCGTAACATTGCGCCAAAGTGAAGCACCGCGCCACACAAAGAGAACATCATGCCGTTTAGCAGCAGCCACCTGCCGATCCAGACTGGACACCCTGGCCCTGGCCAACCTGCACGGTCGGCTTGTTGTTGACGGTGGCCGTTCCCATGCGTTCCTTGATCTGCCGTGCCATTGTCAAGAATGCCTGCTCAACATTCGACGCGTTCTTGGCTGAAGTCTCGAGGAAAGGAATTCCGAGGCTATCGGCGAACTCCTTGAAAAGTGCAATCAAGACATGTTAGTAGTCTGGCTTCCTTCTCAGTGTCCCAACGGCCCTGGATCTGTCTGTAAACATACCTTGGCAACGGTGTATTCCACGACCTTTTTGTCCTCCATATCGCTCTTGTTTCCAACGAGCAGCTTGTTAACACCCTCGGTAGCATACCGGTCAATCTCCTGGAGCCACTGCTTCACGTTGTTGAAGGAATCCATGTCGGTGACATCGTAAACCACGCAAATTCCATGAGCTCCCCGGTAGTAAGAAGATGTGATGGTACGGAATCGCTCCTGGCCGGCGGTGTCCCACTGTATATATTATTAGTTTTGCTTCAGATATTTGGTGTTCAATATAGCCATACGATCTGAAGTTTCACGGTCTTGCCATCGAGTTCGATTGTGCGGATTTTCTAGAATGACCCGTTAGCACCACCATTCTCTGGCGGTCAAATACCCTGCAGATTCCCAGACGTACGAAGTCAACGCCGATTGTCGAGATGTAGCTTTCAGTGTAGGTATCATCGGCAAAACGAAGCAGCAAACAAGACTTTCCAACACCGGAGTCACCGATGAGGAGCAGCTTGAAAAGGTAATCGTATCTATCTCGATGGTTAGGCAACGGAGATCGGCAAGTTTGGGGATTCGGGTCGGGTGACAGTCAAATAAACAACGCTACGATACTCTAGAAATCAAAATCACATTAGTCAAATTCAACACACAAGTGGACGCATATAGTGGACCAAAGCAGGGCGCATAGGAATTTGAGGGGGGATGGGAGACAGGGAAGGCTTACCACTCGGGATTCATGATGAGACTTGGGAAGCGGAGAAGGTGAAAATAAAGAGATAGAGCACAAGTCCAGAGGAATATAAGGGAGGTTTTTTTGTTAAAAAAAAAAAAAACAAGATGGAGTCGAAGTTCCTAGGAAGTCGGGGGAGGGGACAATGATGGAACAGTCGCCTGAAATGATAGGAGGTGCAGGAAGGCAGACGCACCTGATGCGCAGCTTTGTTTCACGTCACAAACCACTTCTCGGATTTTCTATATTTTCGGCATTTTGTATATTTTGTATATATACCTCTTGGTTTCATTTCTCCATTTACAGTTATATCACGAGTATCGTATTGATTCTACTTCTCTCATATGCGAGATCACCTGCTCATGTGTTATCCCGTGCATAAACTCCGCGTTACCCATCGGACTAATGAAATAAAATCCAGAAACCCCATTTACATTGTATCAAAATCATAGCAAGTTCAAACAAATATATTGTTGAAGATCTAAATGGCAATTTATGCGTAACCGTGTGCCTGCAGCCATTCGAGAACCAACGCCTCCTCACGCTCCTTGTAGGATGCATTGGTTCGAATGTTGTCTGAAACAATCACGAGCGCGCGGTCATAGGCGCCTGTTTCCTTGTCCTTGAAGAAGGCCGCAATGTCGTCACTGATCTGGTGATCGGCAAACTTTGATAGACCCATGCGGACAAAGCGCTCAAACACAACGTTGTTAAATGACAATCGTGTTTCGACAGCAGTCCAGTTATCCTTGATATACTGCCATAGCAAATGCCGCACCTTCGAGTTGGCGGCCAGAGATACGGCACCGCTGTGAAGGTCCTGAACAGCCACCTTATCCGAAAACACGAAGTTCAAGTAGTCCTTTACCAGAGCAGCATCCTTCGTGCGTCCAAGTGCAGACAGGCAAATCTCTTTGCCATCCACAGAGTCGGTTCGGATATATTCTTCCTTAACGGCTTCGTATTCCTTATGGCCGCCCTCCGACACATTGACGCCGAAAATCACTGACCGCAGGTTAGTATGAATGGCACTGGTATCTTTTCCGGTCGCCCAGAGATCGAAACGGCGCTTGGCCTCCGAGACAAATCTATGGATCATTGAGCTTGTGTTAGAACGTGTTCAACAACAATCGGGAGACGAGGGAAAAGAGCTCACCCTTCATGGCCGGCATTACAGGCCATTGCAATGAGCAGCTTCCGAAGTTGCACAATGAGGTAGTCCTCATCGGGCTTGAACTCCCAGCCAATCCGTTCTGCGGCCGGGGAAGCCAGTTTCAGGGTAAACTGCTTCAATCCCTCGGCCACTTTCTCGTTTTGGGAGAAAACCGACCGGAGGTTCGCCAGAGACGCAGAGACTTGGGACCAAACACTGCAGGATGAGAGGTCAGAAATAACAGCAAAGGTCCAGAAGGAGATGTTGCTCACAGATAATTTTGTTCGTCCTTGAATCCTTCCAAAAGGGTCAACAAGGCGGGTGTAGTGCCCTCGCCAGAGACTGCAAGGGCAGCTGCATCACCCAGCAGACCGATCTTGTCCTCGGTGCTCAGGAGATCAAGCGACTGACCCAGTTTTGCCAGATGCATGGGAGGATAGTTGGTCCGATAGAACCCAGACAGATCCTTATTGATTTTGTAGAAACTGTCTTCTCCGATTCCTCCAACAGTTTCAGATTTTGCGGTGAGCGCACGGGTGTCAACGGTTGCTAGCTTTTGTCCAGATTTGATGCCGAGGGGAATCCACCATTTTGTCTCATCTTCCTCTGGCTTCGCATCGCCGGTAGACAAGAATCGATTCTGGCTAACAGTGATTTGGCCAGGTTCCTCTGTCACGGTGACAACCGGGAAACCGATCTTGCGAATCCAGGGATCCTAGGGCAGATCAGTTAGATCTCGGGTTGACCAAACAGAGAGTCAAACAAAGGGCCAAGGGTTAGGTATTTACTTACCATGAAAGAATGCACGTCCTGACCGGAGGCTTTGCTCAAGGCAGACCACAGGTCATTTGTGGTTGCATTTCCTATAAACACTTAGCAGATGCTCCTCATAATCTTGTAGTTTGATGCCTTACCATATGCATGAGATTTGAGATAGTCCGCAACTCCACGCAAGAAAGTCTCTCTACCGAGGTGAACACTCAGCATGCGAATGACAGAGCTTCCCTTCAAGTAGCTAATATGGTCGAAAATTTGGTCGACTTCGAGGGCATTCCGAACGGGTACTTCGATAGGGTGGGAAGCGCGGAGCGAGTCAAGGTGGAATGCTTGTTGCACGCCTTCAGCCTGGGAGAACGTCAACATTGGTCTTGACATGATGGATATTACCTCGGGCATTCCGTACGACAAACTGAGACCAGACGTTCCACTCTGCTTGCATATTAGATACTACGTCGGAGACTCATCGACCAGGAAAGAACCTATCTCACCAGGATAGAAATGATCAACAGCAAGCCAACCAACCCAGGTTGCGAATCCCTCATTCAGCCACAACTCATTCCACCAGTCCATGGTGACCAGGTTGCCAAACCACTGGTGAGCCAGCTCTATAAAGTGGGTCAGTTATCAAAGCCATCTTGATACCTCCGAGATCGGATGTAGGTACTAACCGTGAGCTACAACATAAGCAATGCGATTCTTGTAGCGGTTGTCCGACGTTCCTTCATCGAAGAGAACAGCGGTCGTTCGGTAGGTCACAAGGCCCCAGTTCTCCATGGCACCCATGGCCTACAGATCCACAATTAGCTTGAATCAAAAGCCTGGAGCTCATAGGGAATAAATAGTTACTCACAAATTCGTGAACAGCCAGAAGATCAGCCTTGGGAAGGGGATATTCAATTTCGAAGACTTCCGAGAAATAGTCAACGGTACGGTGAGCACATTCTAGTGCAAAGCGAGCCTGGTCTTTAAGGCCCCGCGTGGTGTAGACTCGAACGGGGATACTCTTTCCCTGGTATTTTCGCTGGGTCATGGCCTCAACGTATTCAAAGTCGCCAATTGCCCATGCGAGAAGATAGGTGCTCATCACCGGCGTCTTCTCGAACGTGACAAACTTCAAACCGGGCTTGTTGCCGTCTCTTTCGGATTGAACAGGCATGTTGCTCAGTGCAGTCTGTCCCTTGGGGACTTCAATCTCGAAATCAAAGGTGGATTTCAAGTTGGGCTCATCGAAACAAGGGAAAGCCCTTCGTGCGTCGCAAGACTCAAATTGAGTGCTTAGCATGTAGTAAAAGTCGTCCTCCTTGGGGGTGTCGGCAGATGGCTCTCCGACGGGCTTATACTTCGAGCGGTAGAAGCCGGCCATGGCGTTGTTCATGGTGCCCGTAAAGTTGATGGAAAGCACGACATCTGCTGGCGTAATCTCTTGCGAGAAAGCGAGAGAAACTCGCTCCGATTGCTTGTCGTAGGTTATTCCGGATGCTTTGGCCAATTGGGTCCCTATGACAAGAAGACCGGTATTAGTCTTTTCTCTCATATCACACCAATATGCTCCCACACGTACCATCTTTTCCCAATATCTCAGCATTTTGTACTTCGATCTCCTTCGAATTCAGCACAATCTCGCTAGTAGCACGAGTGACTTTGAGATCGATCTTCAAAGCACCCTTGTATTCCCATGAACCACCAAACTGCAAGTCGAAAAGAGAGACATGGTAGTTGATAGGCTTAGCTCTGTTGTCATGTCAGGTTCCGAGGTTGCAACCCAGAAAGAAAGGGACTCAATTTTGGGAACGGAAAAGAAAAGAAACAAAAATTACCCAAGCGGGGCATCACTCACACGTCAGGAAGTGTCTCTCGCTCTTGAGAAGACATCATGCGGACTTCGGCGGAACAATGCCTAATGGGAGGTAAACTCAGATTAAATGTAGCCGCGAGTGTAGGCAATCGAGGTCGCGGTCGAGGAGAATGTGAAAGAGAAAGTTTGTGTAGGGTGCGAGAAAGAAGAGGAGGGGTAGGGCGGACAGTAGGACGGATTTCAACTGCTACGCCAGCTCGAATGAATCTTCTTCCCCACATCGGGGGAATTTCGAGCTTAACCGTCTACGGTTATCGTCGGAGCTATTTCGAAGAAAGAATATTTAGTTTCAAAGAGAGACTTTCGACTGGCGAGTGAAGGAGAGAGGGAGGATATTCTCCAACGGAGCTCCGTCGGAAGCTTGGACCATTTTCAGTCTTCCGCTTAGATCCTCTCTCTTTCTCTCTCTCTCTCTCTCTCTCTCTCTCTGTCTCCCCACTCTTATCTACGAATATGGCGGACTCCGATGAAGAATATGTGGGGGATGTAACAGAAGATGAAGATGATTTACAGGTGACTCGGGGCGATAATCCACGGGCCAAAAGAAAGCAGCGCGGAGGCGCAGAATGGGAGCTATCCAGAACATGGGAGACTTTGGTGGAAGGTGCAGATGGTACCATCAACTCGACTGTCGAAGGTCTGCTGGAGGCTGGAAAACGAAAAAGGTTAGTCCTTTTATCCTTGCAACGTCCGTATATATTCTTGCTGAAGTGTATCGATCATCCAGGCTCTTGAAAGATACGACACCACTACAGCGCGGTATCATTCGACATCTTATCCTAATTCTCGATCTTTCACAATCCATGTCCGAGAAGGATTTGCGACCTACAAGATACTTGTTGACTCTCCGATATGCCCAGGAATTCGTGAGAGAATTTTTTGAACAAAACCCCATTTCCCAGCTTGGTGTCCTCGGCCTAAGAGATGGTCTCGCACTCCGAGTCAGTGATATGAGTGGTAATCCAACAGAGCACCTCACAGCCATCCAAGCCCTTAAAACACAAGATCCGAAAGGTTTGCCTAGTCTTCAAAATGGATTGGAGATGGCACGTGGTGCGCTTTTGTATGTCTTTACACCAGCCACATATAGTCTGGGGGATTTGTCCGAAACTAACCGGTGAATTTAGCCATACACCAAGCCACGGCACCCGAGAAGTACTATTCATATACGGTTCCCTCCTTTCCTCCGATCCTGGAGATATCCACCAGACGATAGATACTCTGATTAGTGACAAAATTCGGGTTGGCATCGTGGGGCTCGCAGCCCAGGTTGCAATTTGCCGGGAGCTTTGTACAAGAACCAACGGTGGTGATGAAACTGCATATGGAGTAGCACTAAATGAGCAGCACTTTCGGGAGCTGATGATGGACGTGACTACACCCCCAGCTGCCTACTCACAGAAAGAATCTTCAAGCTCATTGCTGATGATGGGATTCCCATCTCGCACAGTGGAGTCCAACCCATCTCTCTGCGCATGCCATTCAAAGCCCTCACGAGGAGGTTATCTTTGCTCACGATGCAACAGCAAAGTGTGTAATCTTCCTGCTGAATGCCCATCTTGTGGGCTCACATTGATCCTTTCAACTCATCTGGCACGCTCATATCATCATCTATTTCCCTTGATCAACTGGGTCGAGGTGCCGTGGCGTCGAGCCTCGCGAAGTTCTGCTTGCTTTGCCTGTGGCCTTTCTTTTCCTTCTGTGCCTTTGGAAGATCACTGGCAAATGGCAGAGAACCAGACCAAGGGAATGAGCGTGAGCAGTCGATATGAGTGTACCGCTTGTCGTAACCACTTCTGTATCGACTGCGATCTCTTTGCACATGAGGTCGTGCACAACTGTCCCGGCTGTCAAAGTAAAAGCACACCCACACACTCCGATGCTGCCAATCCACCGTCAGGTGGAATGGACATCACGGTCTAAGGTGTGGAATTATTTCAATATTGCATAGTTTGGCGTCGCAAGATATCCCTGGGTTTTATGTTCACAGACCGAAGGTACCATGGGGGGTTCAAGGCGTCTGTATATACAAAATACGATTTTTCTGGCAAGTTCCATGTGGCTTTTATCGTTTTAGGGGGTAGAAATGGCCCCAAGAGGGTCAAAACGTGCAGAGTAAATAATTGGAGATCGCACCAGGATGAGCCTCGGCTAGTTAGCTTAGATTGCCCCACGCCATCCTCCGCATCCGCATCCCAGACCTTTCTATCCTACATTATTAGACAATGGCGCAGCCCTCAGAATCTCGAGTCTTTGAAAAGCTACAATCTTATTCCTTCACATCGGATCCCGAGTTTGCAAATGGCCTCTCAATAATACTTGGTCACCCCGACACCCCCGCCACCGAGGTGGAGATGAACCGGGATGACGACCTTGTTCTGCAAGCAAAGTGCTTCTTTTTCTCACGGTATGCTGGGAATTTGCGCAAAATAGTACAAGTGCTAATATAAGTATAGAAAAGAAAAGCTCACCCCGGCTATTGACTTTGCTGCCTTCAAGTCATGGTTGGTATTACGGACAACGGAGCAAGGGCTTGGCAATACAGACTTGCAAATCCCCAAAGCATCGGACCCAAGCACACCTGGGCCTGAGAGTTCAACACATTCTGAACCTGCTTACCCGTCATCGTTTGCACACATTGTGGAACTCATCACTACGGGACAACCAATACCTGGGATCCAGGACATCCCGGACACTGTACTCAGTGGCCACGATATTTCTAGTGAAAAACCACGGCGACGGAAACCATGGGAGAAAGATGAAGTGGTGACTGCTTCTGATGACACTGCAAGCGCTGCTCCGTGAAACTCTATTCTGCCCACATGAGGTTCATGATGGATCAAATATTCGAATGGAATAGAATTTGGATAATAACAATATGGTTTTCTTTAAAACAAAAATTAGAGTGACACGCCGCAGGTCTCAATCTATACGATTGAATGAAATGATAGCCACGAGGGATAGCAAGCCAAATGAATAAATCGGCAAGGAGTGATAACTCGCAATATTGGAACACAGAAATGATTGGGTAATTCGGAACTGGGTCAACAGATATCGATACAACACAGTCAGGAAAACTGGCAAAGACAGACAGTCTGCCTAGAAGCAAAGTGGATAATAAAAGTGAATATGAAGTATCAAGAAAACAGACTCAGCGAAGTGGCGCATAATTGGGTCCCCATTGATGTCCACGGCCGAAACGACCACCGGACTGGTTCGTCGTGGTAAATTTGTCTTCGTTGAAATTGTTGAAACGGCCAATTTGCATCCCAGCCCCAGGACCAGGGCGAGTAGCATGAGACGGGTTGCAGCAGAGCATAGCAACACGAGAGCCGAATTTGGAACCACGAAGGGAGACCATATGTTTCCTAGTTAAATCAGGTTAGGTTTCACACCACTCTAAGTAGAAAATAAACTGTGGAAACTATCAGGGAGTAGTACCGAATGTGACTGGCCACGAGCTCTCGTTGGTGAGGCGCAGCATTCATCAAAATCCATTGGGTGAGATAGTTACCATACTGATCACCCGCTACTATAGAAGAAAATCAGTATCTGCTCACTGTGTTAAAGCCTGAGCAACTTACTATCGATCAATGGCATGCGAGGTCGGTCAGATCGGCCAGTGCAGACACGAGAGAGATAATGGTCCATGAACTCTGTACCGCCAATCTTGAGGCATTTTTCCACAATCTTAGATGCGAATTGATCCATACTGTAATCCACAGCCCAGCGAAGAACATGCTCAATAGCACGGCTCTTGTCATGGGGAGCACCGTGCTCGCAGATATGTTGGATGCACCAATTCCCGAATTGGCCATGTGCGAGTACATCGATCTTCGCCAGGACTTCTTCGATTGCCGGTCGCTTCAAGATATTAGCATTGGTATAATTAATATACGGAACCAAATAGAGGAGCAGAACAGCGAGAAAAGAGCTTTGATGCATATGGTAGAGGGCTAAGGTTAACGGGGAATCTCACCTTTTCCTCCTCCACACAATTTTCAAAAATGTTCTGGACGACCAAACTTCCTGTCTCTCCAAGGGCAACCTCATGCCACATTCCGCGTAGTGCCTCATTCACTTTGGTCATCACCTGCGGAGGCTCACCACTCCACCGGAGCTCAAAGAGTTTCTGCCAAACATGGCACGCATATCGATGGACCACCGTCTCGGGAATTCTGCGGAGAAGTTCATGTACCATGATAGCTTTATGCTCCTCTGAAACGCAGTCAAACGCCTTTTGGACCACATGGCAGCCAAATGCATCCATACTGAGGTTTAGCGTGTTCCCTCTGATCGCATTGGCGATGGCGACGACTTGCTCCGGAGTTCCATGTTCAAAGCAGCGTTGTATGAGGAAGTTTCCAAAGCGGTTGACCATGAGTGGGTAGGCTTGATGCACAATGGACTCGATGATGTCGTATTTTTGCTCAGTTGTGCCAACTTTGAGCTTTTGTTGTAAGAAAATTGAGGCTTGCTGGTCATTGTTGCAGATAATCTTGTCTACAATGTACTTCCAATCACACGAAACATTCTTGTCGAGCAGGCGTCGGTAATTGAGTGGTTCAAGTGGCGACACGTAAGTCTGGATGGAAGTACCGCTCATCTGATAAGAGTTAGAATGAATGCAAGCACGATGCACACGGTTATTATCTCTTACAGGGTTGGTCCATGTGGCTTCATTTGTGCTAGCACCTGTAAACTCGGTAGCAGTGGGTGAAAGTGGGCTGCCGATCGGTCGATGGGGGTAAGAGGGTACAGAGTAAAGCCCAACCTGCTGAAAGGCGCTCGGAGGTCTCTTCGGCGAAGAAGGTGACTTGGGAGTCTGCTCACTAGAGGCCCCAGAAGCAAATTCACCCCAGGGAGTAGACTGAATTGGGAATAGAGATCCACCTCTACTGCTTTGGGTCATGGAGCGACGAGCGCCGGTAACTGATCCTGGAGGATACAACATCTGTTCTCCAATGGGACGTGAGTAGAATCCACAAGTACTGGCCGATGACCCCGAGTGTGCGCTTTG